CCCCAAAACCCCAAAACCCCAAAACCCCTCAAAGAAGAATTTTAGAAATAATCTAAAAATTATAATATAATTAAAATGGGTAGAAAAAAGAGAGGTGTCACAGTATTATAGCCATTCTGCTATTATTGCGATAAAGAATTCGTGAATGCAAATATTCTTCTTCAACATCAGAAGAACAGACATTTTGCCTGCAAGCAGCAATAATGCAATAGGAAGTTCTCAACTGCTGCCTCAATGTCAACTCACATGCTTTAAGTGCATAATGTTGCAGTCTCAAAGTATTATATTAAGATATATTATTTATAGAGTGCCTAATGCCAAAGCAGGTAGAGATCAGGTTGATATTAATGTATATGGAATGGAAGGAGTCCCAGCAGAGGTAATTGAGGAAAGACTAACCTATAAAATGAAAAAGAAGATGCAGAAACTCGAGAAGGAATTGCACAGAATGGGCATTAATGTTGATGATCCTAAGTTTAACATTAAGGATTTCGACGTGCCAGAAGTCAGGCCTGCCAAAAAGAAGCCAGAAACTAACTAAGCCCCAATGCCTCCAATGTTTTATCCCCCACCTCCAGGATTCATGAGGATGCCACCACCAGGAATGCAACCACCTCCAGGTATGGGACCTCCAGGCATGCCTCCTCCAGGTATGATGAGACCACCAATGCCCTACGGAATGCCACCTCTGGATGAATTTGGCAATCCTTTACCTCCCCCTCCAGGGTTTTAAATGCCACCCCCAGGAATGTAGCCACCTCCAGGAATGGGTCCTCCTCCTTAATTGCAAGAGCAAAAATGAATAGAGATTTAAACGAATCCTCTGTCTAGTCTAATTAATTTAATAATCAATTTCATTTAATTATTTTTTTTAATCTATCAAATTAATGAAATCTACAGTAAAATATTCTTAACCTAATTAGATCCCATCATAGCATCCTATCTTTCTTGAGAAGGAGTCATTTATTAGTTTAGAGCTAGGCAGTGAATAGTAATTAACCAGCCGAATAAGCATCGAAAATCTAAATAAATAAAGCCTTATCAAAGAGTGGAAATTGAACAATCAAGGACACATAAATCAAAATTAAAATCGCCAAGGAGATCACTACCAGAGTTTATATGAAGTCAATTTAGGTTAATAAAAGTACAGTAATAGTCAAGTAATTAGTAATTTTATACAGAGTCAATCTCCGTAAACTAAACGTAGAGAATTGAAAAATGACTTCGCTGCCTTCCAGAAATCTAAAGTTGTTAAAAAAGGAGATGATCTTTCAGATATCAATTCAAGCTTTGGAGATGAATATCATCTTTCTACAGATCATATGAGAGAGCATCATAAACTCAACCTTAATTCAGATATAGCAGCAGTAAACAATGTATAAGATGACATGCAGAACTTCTCACTTACAGATATAGCTCCCACCTACTCTTCCAAAATCAGTTAAATGATTGCAGCCAATAAGGAGGTTTAAAATTTCAAGCAGTTAACAGACAACCGAAAAAAGTTAAATACTCCCTAAAATAATCAAGTCCCTGATAAAATGTTTCTTATACCATTCTAATAAGTAGATAGGTCATCGAGGAATACTCAAAATCAGCATGTAAGCAAAAGTGTGTTAGATTTAAGAGGATGTGAATCTCCTTTCGGCAGGAAAAAATCTCTTAAATTTTCAGACAATATGACTACAACATATATCGAAAAACCGTAATAGGATAGTGACTATGAGAATTACGTCTCAAATGATGCCGCTTTTTAATTTTAAAAGCAAAAATAGCATCAATAATAATAGTAGTAATTATAAAATTAGCTAGTATCTTAGAATAAAAAGCATGTAGAATCAGTTGAATATCTCTCTAACAGTTATGATATCTCTGAATTTCAGGACTAGGATTTTGATGTTATCAATTAAATAGTAGAAGAGGGAAGATAAAAATCTAAAAGCAATTAGAAAAATAGCAATGATAAAGTGAAATCAAGAAATAAGTAGTTAGATAATTGCACTTAATAGCATTAAAATCCATTGATAAGCCTGTAATTTGATGTGAGCTAAAATCTATTGAAAACTGATTATTCATTGAAGAGCAAAGTCTAGCCAAATATACAAATTTAAAAGCGAATGAAAACTTAAAGAGAAAATGAAACTATTAATTAGCATGAATAGCCCACTAGCTCAAGTGTGTTTGAGTTACATCACCTGCGGAAGTAAAATGCTATATTGAGATAGGAGAAGAGTAAATACAAGTAAAAAGTAAATAATCAACAGCAGGAAATTTAGAAACTAAAGCAAATAATACAAAGGTAGGAGTAGCTGAGAAGGAATGATAGATAGTATCAGGAGAAGCTAGAACAAGAAATAGATAGACTTACACTAAAAGGCTAGGTTAATCAAGGTCAGATCAACGTCAACAAATAATAGTAGTAATAGCAAATTTCCCAAAATTCTAATTACTATCAAATGGAAAATAGCTTGCATTAAAATGATAGTTTTAATGGCACTACTAGCACAGGTAGTAGACTAATGTAGTACTTGAAACCCTCAAATTAATACTACTGATTTTATGATTAATATTATATCTCCTTAATTCCTTGATTTTATAAATATTCACAATCAATCTTTAAATAAGGGGTTTTGGGGTTTTGGGGAGATCGGAAGAGCGTC